AGAAACCCCGAGCATAGCCGTTCAAATTATACCTATATAAAATACACATTATGAACGAAAACAATATCTTAGATGCTAGTGCCCTGGTAATGCAATTAAGCGTAGGAGGTAAGGAGGGAGATAGTAATGAAGTATTAATGGCCTTGTAGTATGTCAGTTAAATATTTTATATAAGTGTTGTTAACAGTGAAGACGTTAAATTTCTCTAATAATACACAGACACATTTATTTCGATGTATAGTTGTTAGTTAACAAATATTATAAAATATAATAACGGGAACTTAAAAATGCCAAATATTTAGATAACATCCACAAATGTCTGTATCGCAGGTTTATGGAAAAAAGCCTAGGTTTTTGATCAAAAACCTGATTTTACCATAAACTTGCAACATATATACTTTATAGTACTGTAAGATATCCGAGTATCAGCTGCAAAAAATTAGTATTTACAGGTTTGCATTTCTTCAATGAAATCATTTAGAAATTTTAAATAAGATAATTATAGTACCACTAAGTATTAATGAATAACACTGAGGCTTTTTCCGAGCGATGAAATATGCTTTTCAAATGACAGTTATAACATTTATTTCGTCAGTTCGACAGTTTAACCTATTTAACTCTTATGCTTCATCACCATTAGTACGGACTGTACTGATGAATATACAAGACCACCGTTGGACATGGATCCCCCAAATAATATATTTTAAACCCAAGGGTTCATTTCCTTGTTATGAGTACATATAATAATATTCGCCGATTTATACTACTCGTAGATTTAATAACAGGATTATGAGGCATAAATTCGCAGTAAACATGAAACTTGTTCACGAGTTGCAATCTCAATGCCATAAGGTCGATAAATAAGGATGCTTAGTATGCATAAACGTAAGGCAACTACGCAATTTAATGCGCTTATTTCTTTTTATAAAACTGAAGTTATAAACAAACTTATAGTCCACCTGATCGTATAGATTTTCTACAGGATGCATTTCGGATAGTGTGCGCAGGAATTGCATAAATTAATTCCTCCCTCTCCCTTCCACCATTGAACAACCAGACGATCGACCAGTCTCCACCCTTTCGTTGTTGACTTACCACGCATTCGAACCAAACGGTTTGCTACATCGTTTGTGATGCGTACAGCAAAGGGTTGGAATAAGTGTGTAAGTGTCTGTGTTTCCAACCGATTACAATGTCGGTGTCTTCAAGGCAAGAGTGAATAAGCTTTTGTTAAATCAGAGCGCTTCACCATCTTAGGCTACATCACCACTTACCATCAGGTGGGATTGTAGTTAAGCACTGGCTTAGTATAATTAGAATAAAAGAGATGGCTTATGCAGTACGAACATCTTCAGCCAAATTCATCAAGGAAGGATACAGTTACGTTAACACCTCTGAGAACTCACAGCCTGTAATTAAACTGACTCTATAACTTTCAGTCCGAAATATAGTAATGCAAGCTATTTTGAACTGCAAGGCAGCAAAGGAGTCGTACCGACTGGAACCTTATATCATAATCGTCTTTATAACCTTTTAAAAGTCCTCTGCTAAACTTAGGCCTTCCTTATAGGACTTCATGTAGAATATTTGCATAGTTGCCACGGCTTTACCTTTTTTGTATAGAAGAAAAGGGAGTTCAACTATTTTTTTTTTCATTTATTCATTGAAGCCCATCAAGTTCCATTGCTGAACATAGGCCTCACTCGCAGATTGCAGTATAAGGGATATGGCAGATAGTTGTCACGGTTGGCAGGCAGATAACCGCAGTTTCCTTATTGTAATTGAATTGTTAGCAGGTAGATGCTGCTGCCTAAATTCTGTTTTTAGATTCGCAGAATCAACAGCAAGAGGCAACACCTCTTGCTGTTGATTCTGTTACGCGGCAATTACACGGCCAACGAAAGTGAAATTATAGCAAACGAAAATCCAACTTATTATCACTCGAAAGCTATAGATGTGCACGTAAAAGAAAATCATTTGTGTATGTTACCTTTAACGTAGGTAAAATAATCTGATTATAAACACATTTGTTCATAAAAAAACGCTTAAACCATTTTGATGTATTTAGCTAAGACAGGCAATTTTCCCTGAACGGATCACATGATTATATCAACATGGTCGCCGACATAGGAGTATGATGAATTATAACCCAAACCAAAATTATATGTTGCGTCCAACCAGGATTCGAATTCACGACGCTCGACTCGGCATATTAGCTCACGCTCAATTTTATTAGATTAGGTTGAGCATTTTTTTTTATTTTTGTTGATTCCTCAAGGTCTACCCTTTTACTTATTTATATTGTGTTCCTGTTTGAAATTTATGAAGAGCCAGTTGTAAGGGATCTTAGACCTGAGGGTGGATAAAGTTGCTTGTAGATGTTCATAAACTACAGAAGCCGTTTATTAGAAGCTACACTGCTACCTCGTTAGCCACTATAATGTTATGACAAGCAGGAGTTACTTCAATTTGTAGGAACCCGGCGTAATAATATCCCTGTTATTATAAGAGGAGGGCTGGGGTCACAATACATTTATTCAGTGGCGGATTTACCAGCAGGCTGAGTAGGCTGGAGCCTAGGGCGGCAGATTTTAGGGGCGGCGAATTTGGGGCTAAATCTTTTTCATTTTGCACTTGGTTGATAAATTTTCTTACAATTTGCGTTTGGTTGTGGCGCGGAAGCGAGTGACATGACCGTTTGCTAAATGTGTTTGATCGAAATGCCTGCCCTATGTAGTATAGCTATGGAAACGCTGATGAATTGGCTGAACGAACGAGGTGCGGCCGCACCGGTAGCCGCAGCAGGATCATACTGTTGAAGGCGTACGCTGCGTGTTGGCATTGAGTTCGAAACAGATAGATGTATTTACTTCAAAACCAAAGTAAAAGCTACCTCGGTTAACTCCTGGTGCGATTTCTAATACGTGCTAATATTTCTCTGGCACAATTTTTTTGGAAATTTACTTATTGGAAAAACGTTCTGAAGAGGGTTCTTGCCGTAGTATGATAATGCCGCAAACATGCCTGGTGTGTGTACAATGGCTAAAATTCAAAGCCAAGCACCTATTGCTTTTTTCGTTCCTTGCTTTGTCCTCTCTTAAAATTTAGTGGCAACTGCGGCTACTGAATGTTGCACACAAGCTTACCGCTTCAGTTCTTTGTAGCTGAACGAGAAATTTTTAAGTATTTCCAAGAAAAAGTGATCGAATTAAGCGTGTCGAAGCAGTATGCAAAAGACGTGGGGGAATATACAACCGGAAAGGAAAAAAATATATGATGAGACACCTGATAAAGAAATGAGAATGACTTCGAGTGATACTTTCAGGGCTAATACATTTCTCGTCCTCATTGATAGACTAGTATCTGAATTAGAAAAACGGTAGGTATTGGTTCAAACTTTTGATTTCGGACCAAAATCAACAACATCATCAAGATCAACCCTTACAGAAAAAGCCCTTTTCTTGGAAGAAATGTATCCTAATGATTTAGAGACTGTCTTAGTTCAACAATTTTCAATGCCACCTTTCTTCTGAAAGAATTTTGGTGAAACCAGATTCTGGATTATTGAAAATTTTATCTTCGTTCCAGCGGAATCAGAATTTTCAAAATGTTTATCTAAACTTGGATATAGCAGCTTAAAATGGCTGAAAAATTATCTAGGATCTACCTAAAGTCAACATCTCGGCATGCCGGTATCACTCCCCGAAGTTACTTGCAATATCAAAGGACTGTTGCACTTCTTCGGGGAGATTTCATGGCTCGAATAATCACATTATTCCTGTCCACATGCAAAATACGCGCTTAGACGTGGAGTTGCGGAAAACAGCCCGTCGTAAACTAAACTACCTAAACTCAAGAAAAGCTAAACCTTAGCTATTTTATACATAGAGTCAGAAATCAAAATTAATGAACAAGATTTCATCGGACGATTGATGATTATTTTGCGAATAGAAAATTACGCAAAAAGGCATTTTAAAAGTTTCTACTTGTAATTGAATATATTAATTTTAAACTGCAAGTAACGTAAACGTAGTAAAGTGTTTAACGTTTAAGTAGTATTAAGGTATACCTTATCCCGCCTTATTAGAAGTACATGATTGAGCTTTTATTAGCTCGGAAATATAGCCAAGCTATTTCTTATGCAATCTTCACTAAATCGTTGAGTTGTAAAGATAATGCCGTCAAAAACATAACTTGTAAAAAGAAACAAGTCTCACAACGCAGTTCTTCTCCCGTAAAAAGTTATGAGATCCATGTAGTAACAAGTCGGTTAGTTTATTCAGTCCCAGTAAGGGTCCTTCTGTCTCAAGTTATTACGTAACTAGCTAACATCTTATACCACATCAATACTAAAAATCTTTTATATTTTAAATAAATAGATTGACTTGGCCATCGCATGAAAACACAATGTATCTCATAAGTAATACATCATATTATATTAAATTAGACTGTTTAGTGTGTAGCAATAGAGTTTTGATGATCGGTCAGTCAGTGAGTGACAAAATTAAGAAAATTTGACTAGTTATAATTCTTAAACTACTGGTTCAAATTGAATGAAATTTGAAATATACCGTGTTTATATAATGCATGCTTGGTTACTGAAAATTCAGGCTTTATCCACAACGAAGTTATAGGAGGTCGAAAATGGCCTGAACTGCTTCGTGAAAAGGATGGTACGGCCGTGCCGCTTTTTTGCTCGACTTGGCGGGCGCACTACCGTGCCCCCAGATCTGGGAACTGACGCATCGATTTACTAGTTCACAATAATTACATTAATGACGAGAAAAGGGTGGTGTAATTAGAACGATAATGCACCATTCATGAAGTTACAATTTCATTGACAAAAAATTGTAATTAATATGATTGTGAACAAGGGCATCGAATTGTAGAAGATCGGTAGGGGCGGCAAAATTAGAATAGCCTATTGGCGGCAAATGTGTAAATCCGCCACTGCATTTATTATTATTAATATAATTATTTTTTAATTTTGTTTGCTACAGACGGAAAGCGAAACATCTTGCGAAGAAGCGGCGAGACTGACCGCGGAAGGCGCCGGTGAGGCTGACGATGACGAGGCCTACGACTACGGAGCACTGCCTCCGCCACCTGATGGTGGCTACGGCTGGGTGGTCGTATTCGCTTCCTTCATGTGCAATCTGGTTGTGGACGGCATTGCATATACCTTTGGTATATTCCTCCCCGAACTCGTTACGTACTTCGGCGAGGGAAAAGGCACGGTGGCGTGGGTCGGCAGTCTGCTGTCAGGAGTTTATCTCGCTGCAGGTAATTCTATATATAAGTGTTTTTTTTTTGTATTAGAAAACTATCACCTCATCTTATCCAGCAGCAATATACTAGTAAAATTGTCATTTTAAGCACAAGGATATTAGGGTATATAAAAAATAACGATTACCATACCATACCATGCCATACCCATACCATTACAGCCTAACAAAGTCTGAACATAGGCCTCACCATTGCATCATAAGGCGGATAATATGCGCCATGATTGCCTCAGGCAAGTAACCGAATTCATATCTAGAATTCGGAACTTCGATTTATTTACTTGTGTCTTTATAATAAACAAGAGAGGACCCGAAATGGAGCCCTGTAGGACACCAGAAGTGACATTAGCAACATCGGACCTTTAATAAAAACCCTCTGCGTTCTATTAGAGACATGTTACGTGATAGAGCTATGCTAAAGCTATATTACTTGTATAGTTGTAGCACGAATGGGTCGGCTCGACCGAGGAAGGACCACGCTCTCACTGAATACCAGCGTAAAATAGCAGCTTAACGCTGCTCTGTTTCGTTTGGTGAGTCTAGAGAACCGGAGACCCTATTTTCTGGAAACGAGGCTTTCCATCTTAGTCCTCACGGGTGACAACGCATCTGCATTTTGATTCATATTTGAGGATAGATATAGATGTCTATGGGCCACAGCAACCACTTACCATCAAGTGGAGTGTGTGCTCGTTTGTCACCCTTATCCTATAAAAAAAAAAACATATGACTTCCAGACAAACCACCGCCAGAGATTTCCGCGTATACCATTGAAAGCAATCTTCTCCAATAGTATTTTATGATCAACAGTGTCAAATGCTTTTCGGAAATTAGTATAAATACTGTCAGTATGTGTATTGGTGTCAAGCGCGTTAAACAAATCTGATGTGTAAGTGATAAGATTAGTTATTGTAGATCGACGTTTAACAAAACGGTGTTGTTCATCTAAGATACATTATGCAAGAGGGGGTAAATAGCATCATGCACCAAACGCTCAAAGACTTTAAAAAGAATGGGCAGTATAGACATTGGTCGATAATTCATAACGTCACTTTTTGATCCATCCTTGAAAACTAGGACTATTAAACTTTTTCCAAATGTCAGGAAATATTCCATCGGATAAGTATTTATTGTAAACATAACATAAAGGAAGATCGATTACAGATGAAGTTTCCTTGAAGAAAACACCTGGTATGTTATCCATTCCAGCGCCCTTCGATATATCTAACATTTGAAGGGCTTTACGTACCTGAAATCTGGTCACTTTGATGTTATGAAATGAGTCAGATGTATTTTCGAATGGTATCCAAATATAATCAATATGGACATCATCAGTTGATCGTGTTAAATACAGCTAGACACACATCACTGAACACGTAGTGCTTATAAAACTCTTTGTTTTTTAAAACTTTAATATTTTTATATTAAATGAAGATATCGCAATATTTTTTTAGGTTTGTCCATTTTGACCCCCTAAGAGTGTATCTAATACGAACTTTTTGCCCCTATTCTACCTTGACCCCCATGACATCCTCTACATGATAGGCTATTCAAACTGACTAGACCTAAAGTTCGAGTCACCCCCCAACTCAATTCTAGTCTTTACTTTCAAAAATCAAAGTCAAAGTTTTTACATGGTAGAACCATATTGCAGCTATATTTTGGTTGTAGCACGAATGGGATGCCTAAACCATGGAAGGACCACGCGCTCCCAGAATACCTACATAAAACCTCGAGATTTCAACACGACTAGCAAAACAAATGTTGACAAAATGGGTCTTACGATGAGGAAGTAAAGCTGTACGCTAACAACGCAAATTAATGTTAACAATATCAGTATACAGACATAGATCGAGAATAGATGTAGATGTCTATGGGCCACAGCATCCACTTACCATCAGGTGGACTGTGTACTCGCGTGTTAACCTATTCAATATATAAAAAAATATTTTTTTGTCGAAATTGGTCTATATAAAACACTTTCTACAAGTAGAAAAAATCTATGCCACCCCTTCACAAGAGCAAGAAATTTAAGTAGACAATTTTTCTCCTAACAGTTACAAAAATTTAACCTCATAAAATATATATGTATGTATAAACAAATCAAGAAAATCGAAGAAAAAGCGTTCTTATCATTCTAATTTGTTAAATCAATAAATAGTATCTTTATTCTCTAACATATGTGATGACATGTTGAACAATTACGTTTCTATTCAAACCCATCGATTTCATGTAAATCACGCTCCACGCTCGTTTGTTAATTAGATGGGCGTTTCCCGCTGATAAAAATTGCAGATAACTTAGTTATTTACGGTCTTCATTTTCGAATATTTATTACTCATACGCGATACTCGTACGTGGTAAAGTCATATTGCAGCTATATTAATTATAAAATTGTAGCAGGAACGGGTTGGCTCGACCGGAGATGGACCTAGGTCACAGAATACCAGCTTAAAATAGCAGATTAATGCTGCTGTGTTTCGTATGGTGAGTATAGAGAACCGGAGACCCTTTTTACTGGAAAAAAATCATTTCATTTTAGTCCTCACGGCTGACAACGCATCTGCATTTTGATTCGCAAACGAGGATATATGTAGATGTATTTGGACTGTGTGCTCGTTTGTCACCATATCCTTTAAAAAAAACGATACTATTGCAAGCAATACTCGGTCGGCTAACAGTTTAAGCCTCATCTCTCGTCTTCTTCTGTATTCCTCAACTGTAAAGCTTGGCACTTCAAGTTAGACTTAGGGTTTATAGCAGCCTTATAATGTACAAGCGACGTTACTACTTAGAGTATATATAAGCACGCTATAGAGCGTGCATATCGCTCATTACCCATTATGCAAAGCGTAGGCAGATGTTTTCTAGATATTGAGACATAGAACGGTAGAATAGTGACGCGCCTAGATGCATTATTGTACTTAAGTTATTAATTTAATTATGTAAGTATTTAGTAAATATTAAGTACTTATGTGGGTTAATTATAAGGGAGGTTTTAGCAGATCAATAAAACATAGGTACGAATTTATAAAACTATGTTTATTAATCAAACACAATCATCATCATTCATCGTTACAGCCTTTCATAAGTCCACTGCAGAACATAGGCCTCTCCCAAGGAATGCCACAAAATACGGTCCTGAGCCACCTGCATCCATCGACTTCCTGCATGTCTTACCAGGTCGTCACTCCATCTCGTGGTGGGTCGCCCTACACTTCGCCTACAGGTACGAGGCTGCCACTCAAGAACCTTTCTTCCCCATCGGTTGTCGGTTCTTCGAGCTATATGGCCGGCCCACTGCCACTTCCGCTTACTAACCCGCTGGGCTATGTCGGTATGTCGGCAGAGAAACCCCGAGCATAGCCCTCTCCATAGCTCGCTGAGCAACCTTGAGCTCCCTCATACGGCCAGCAGTGAAGGACCACGTCTCAGATCCGTAAGTCGTCACTGGCAACACGCACTGGTTGTACAATTTCATTTTAAGGTTTTGAGGTATGTCTGACGAGAAGATGTGTCGTAGTTTCCCGAACGCTGCCCAGCCGTGTTGAATCCGTCGATTGACCTCTTGGTTGAAGTTGGACTTACCTAGTCGGACTATTTGTCCCAGGTAAACATACGCGTCAACAACTTCGAGCTTAGTGCTCCCAACAACTACCGGCATAGGTGTGACATGGATATTAAACATGATCTTTGTTTTGTCCATGTTCATCCTAAGACCTATTCGTTAGGAGACACTATTGAGGTCATTGAGCATGGTGCTTAGGTCCTCCAGCGATTCTGCCATAAGGACTTTATCGTCGGCAAATCGAAGGTGAGTGATGTACTCGCCATTGATGTTAATACAGTATCCTTTCCAGTCCAGTAGCTTGAAAACGTATTCCAATGCAGCGGTGAAGAGTTTCGGGGATATAACGTCACCCTGTCTTGCACCTCTCTGCAGTTGGATAGGTTTCGTACTCTAGTTCTGAACTCGGATAGCCATTGTAGCCCTACTGTATAAACACTTCAGCACTTCGATATACCGACAGTCAACTTGGCACCGCTAAAGGAACTAGCACCGCTCAAATTTCGACGGAATCAAAGGCTTTCTCATAGTCCACATACGCAAGGCAAAGTGGCAGATTATACTCTTCTGTCTTCTGTACAATTTTCAAAGGGCGTGAATGTGGTCTATGTTACTAAAGCCTCTTCGGAAACCAGCTTGTTCGGGAGGCTGGAAGTCGTCGAGTCTGTCGATTCGTAATGACTCGAAAACAGCACGTAGACGCGGCTCAGAAGGGAAATCGGTCTGTAGTTCTTCAAGAGTGCGTTGTCGCCTTTCTTGAAGAACAAGACCACCGCACTTCTGTTCCATGCCTCCGGTGTAACGCCACCATGGAGGACGGAATTAAAGAGCTACTGAAGGACTTGAAATACCGGTTTTCTACTCGCATTCAGAAGCTCCGCTGTAATTCCATCCTCACCCGGGGCCTTGCCGTTTGTAAGGTGCTGGAGTGCCATTTTAATCTTGATCAGACTGACGTCCGGGATATCATCGGAATAGTGTCGGATAAGACTCGCTCTTGGATCGTTACTCATACTTGCGTGTGGCTCCAACGATGACGTGTACCTGCGCATAATATCTCTCAATCTCACTCAAAATCTCAGGTGTCTCGGAAACGATGCTGCCACACTCGGTCTTCGGTTTTGACAGTTGGTTCTTTCTGGCAGACAGATCCCTGGCAAAGACTCTGGAGCCCTGGTTCTACTCGATCGCTTCTTCAATACGAGCTGTATTGAAGTTGCGTAAGTCCCACTGCATGCATTTGGAGATCTGTCTGTTTAGTTGCCTGTATGCTGTCAAATGTGTTGAAGGCTGCAGCTTCATTACCCGTCTAACAGCCATGAGATTAAGAGTGTGATCGAAGAGTTTTCGTGTATCTTCTGCGGTGGGTCTTGCAGAACTTGGCTCTGACCTCATGGACAGTTTCCACGAGCTTAACTTTCATATCGTCC